GGTCAAAAGGCATCAACACGACGAATCTAATATGGCATAAAAACAATGACGGAGTTTGGCTATGTCGAGACTCACTGTAGTAAAAGAGACATATGGAGCGATCAGATAGCAGGTAAAACAGCGTACAGCTACAAACGCTCACCCGGATTAGCATGACGGTCAGAAAGCTAAACAAATAACCCGCAAAATTATTTAAGTCTTCGAGCTGCGATGTAAGACACTGGTCTGCTCTCGCTGTTGAACCGCTGCTACGCTACAGGTAGTAATGTAATGTAATGTAATATTACTACTACAGGTACTACAGGTAGTAATATTTCACAGACGGAGCTTCGCTTCTGCTCCACCTGGTAGTGACTCTCACCGAACCTCTGCTTAAAGCTGCAGCATCTAACCTAAAAAAATACATTTTACATACATATTAAAACTTTCGCTGTCCTAACATGAGACAGATAATCTCTGAAAAAATAATCGATCTCCTCCCTGATCTGCATAATTACTCTGCTCAGTCAGAAACAGCCAATCAGAGCTAGCAGTAATCAGCTAGCCGCCATGCTAACAGGAAGTTTTCATTCAGTAACTCAGGATTGTTTATTGTAACGGATCCTGTTTTTGCCTTTGAATGTTAAGTTTTATACTTTAATTTCTTTGGCAATGTTGAGAGGTTTTATTTTGGCTCTTTGCATTATTTAGCCTCTTCAGAGCCTTCATATGATATCAGTCTGTTAAAGATAGTATTATCAATAGCAGTACAATTTGCACAATGCTTGTTTTGTTTTGTTTTCTTCTTGGAAAAAGTTATTAAAAACAAGTTTTTGTCTAAATAAAGGTGATTTCATGGTTCCTTTTTCCACATAATGTAACCGGTAGTGCTTATGATTAAAAAAATAATAATTATATGATCGGTATCGGTGATCGGCCCTCATGGGTGGTCGGAATCAGCAGGAAAAAAGCTGATCAGCACATCTCTAGCAGGAACCCAAACCAGGCTGAGTGCATACAAGTCAACATATTTCTTTGACGTCTGACATATCTGGTAAGTAGGGATGTTCAAATCAGGGTTTTTGCTGCTGATTCCGATACTGATCGCCGATCTCTGCTGATCATTGATCTTTGCAGATCACCTGGAATTACTGTTAATTTTTTGCTTTAGGTATAAATGCTACTATGTGATCTGACAAAATTAAAAAAATGATCTGGCAATAAATTAACCTAATTTAGGAATAAAACATGCAAAATACTTGCAGGCACAATACAGGAACTATTCAGTCAAAAGGACAACTGAAAAACCTGCAATCAGTAAAATAATATTTAACAGTAAGGCTCTCAGTACCATAAATTATACATGAGTCAAATAAATCTCAACACTGCCTGTATCAAGTAATGCCAAGTAAAAAAGGAAACATTCATTCAAAGTCAAACGCAGGCTGCATCAAAATAAACAATCCTTCCTGATAGCATGGCTAGCTGATTAATGCTGGTTCTGATTGGTTAAGATAATCTGAGAAAAGAAAATCAAGCTCCTCCTTACTGAGCCACTATTACCATCTGATTGTTTAAAAAGAACTGATCAAAGCCACGAGGGGGTTTTAGCACTGTTGATCAAGTTATTGCACTAAATGTGCTGGTGGCATAAAAACAATTTACTCTTCCAGGAAAACCCTTTATCTGCTGTATTGGCCATGCTAACTAGCCTGAGCATCCATGGCAGTCTCTGTTGTGGTGAACCAGCTGTAGTGTAGCAGAGAGCAAGGGAGAGGGTGGGGGCAGCACATACATGAGTATGTTTGACAGCACCAACACTCCAACAGACTCTGGTTGTTTCTGATGGAGCAGGACAATAGGGGGAAGGTAGAGAAGCTTGATATTTTTTTTTCAGATTAACTGAATTACTCTGATCCTGTGAGCAGCTGTGATCATCGTGAGCCATGACGCACGACTCATCACGGAGACTCAGTGCCAGCTGTGGGTGGTGGAGGACTGCACCGTCAACCAGATCGAGGGAGACTTTGATGACTACAAGAGGGAAGTTTTGGAGGCCCTTGGAGAAACCATGGTCAATAAGGTCAATCCATGATCACTTCCAGGGCAGACCCCGAATATGGATTATTTACAATCATATACATCGGAACATTTGGAATATCAGTCATTCCTCCTGCTTCACATAAGCAGGAAGATTAAATATCTTTAACTATGACCTGTCAAAACTTAATAAAAGAATCTTGCACTTGCATTTTTGTCGTTTCATTTATTTAAAAGTTATGAACTTCAGTAGAATGTTCAGGCTTGTTTTAAGCATTTTTCACAACTCTAGTGTTTTAAATAAGCCTTGTATATCTTCTTGACTTGATCCACTTTCTTGTCATCAGGCGTTATTTCTCCGTACCATTTATACCAGGGTTCACTAGGGCCAAGGAATGGTGGAGGTGATGTGAGCCCAACAGCATCATGAGTGTTGGAGTAATCCTCTCCTGAAAAATCCACATGTGGAATCTGAAAAGGAAGTAAACCTGAAAGGAGAAATATTTGGTTACGTTTTTCTTTTGTTTTCACATACTGAGTTTAAGTTGATTTTTGGAAGCTTATACTTTTCTAATGAAATTGGAGCAGAAACGTAACTTAAAAAGTTCTGTGTAAGAAAAAAAAGCTAATTACAGTAGGTTAGCTAATGTTACTTATTGAAACCCTATTATGTTCTATAAATGCATAGAAAACCGTTTCTACTTCACTTTTATTCTGTGATTGAGGCTACAACTTCATGTAATCTGCAAACTGCTGAACTTGATATATGTGAAGTTTTACAGTGTGTAACCAAGAAAAACATTCATTCAAGTCTGTTTATTTATAAAGCTGTTTCATAAGAAAATGAAAATTGATCCAATTTATAAACAGAAAAATATTGTCAAGTCGATCCAAATATCAAAATATTGTCATTTTTAAGCATTCTATTTGGAGCTGGGGTCTAACAGCAAAATCCCATCATGTGAGCCTGTGAGAAAACCAGTGACTTCACCAGAGCAGTTTTAGTTGCTCTGAATCTTTTCAGAGCTCAGAGAGCTCATCAAGTAATCACATATCTGATTACTTGATGTAATCAAGTATGTAGATGATTATGTACAGGATTAGCAACTATTTTTTCAGGCATGTTAGATCTAGATTAAAGGACTGTAATTTATTACAGCATCTTTATGGAGAGGATGTTTAAGAAAGGTTTGATTACATATATGCTTGCTTACTAAGGATAGGATAGTTGTACCTAAAATGACGGCAGAGATAAAGGAGAAAACTCTAAATAAGTTGGTAGGGATTGGTAGCAGAGTTCCAGAGAAGCAAAGAATTTCGTACCGTCATCTCTTGCTTTGTCGATAGCTTCATTCAGCTTTTTCTGTTGTTTCATACACACACCTGAGGAAAGGAGATCCACCAGAACAATCAGTGGCTGCTACACTTCCTAGATTAAAAGGTCAGACGATGCATTACCAGTCAGAGTGGGATCATAGACCATTCCAGTGTGTGGGCTGATAAACTGCTCGAGTAATTTCACATTCTACAAGCGAAGATAGCAGAAGTTATTCTGGTTGTGTTTGTGCTCCAACAGAAGTTATTTTCCTCAATAATGCTGGACTAAAATTTCCATTGTAAAAAAAAAAAAAGATATTTAACCAATAAGAATGCAGAGAATGTCATTTGAATTAGATGAGATGAATACATCTGAAAATGTGAACTACTCTTTCACAAGTGATCCAGCAAAGAAAAAACAGAATACAACCTGTGCTGGAATAACAATCATTCACTGAGGCTGATAAAGGTAACAGCTTCTGAATGTAGAACTGAAATATTTCACAGAACTTGTTCTAAAGCGACGGCTCACCATCCACAACTGGTTCAGTCTAAAAACAGAGCTGGAAGCTTTGACAGTGGGACATGAAAATGGATTTTCATATTACAATCGAAAATAAAACAACAAAATGGGTTTTGAAATAGAAATAAAGGAAAAAAAATATTTAAAACTTAATCATGTAGATTTGCTTTCACACAGATGCTCCGGTATTTACCAGATAGTTGATGCAACTCTAGAAAGCCCCTACTGACCTCAATGGGGACAAGAGTGAGTGAGGGAGGGACAGACGGAAAACATGACATTTTGATCAAGTGTGCATCAACCTTCATCTACCTGATGGTTGATGATAATGTTAGGGTCTCTACAAATTGGACAGGGGTTCCCACATATCTTGTCTCCTCTCTGCAAAACAAAAACAGAGTTGTAGTTATTTAAATAGCAGAGAATAAAAAAGTCAGTTCTACAGAGAAGGAATGGTACAATGCAAGTCTTGCGTGTCTTCTGAGGCGGGATGCCTCCCTTATGGTTCCTCCTGTAGCCTGCCCACACCGCACTGCTGCCGTACCGCTCAATATACTCTGCCAAACACATGGAGCATAGTACAGCCAACAGCTGTAGCAAAGGCCAAGAATCTCGAGTTCCGTGCTGGTTGAACCATATTCTGCGACAATACGGTCACCGTATACTGTGACCGTAGGAGGCGCTGTTGCATTTACCACTGTGCTACGCCAAAACGTAAGCTTTGCAGAGGGAGAGGGCGAACAAAAGCAAAAGGAAAAATGTAGAAAAAAAAGCCTAAAAAAGAACAAAAATTAACATTTGACCACTAATATTATGACTAATATATAATGTTCTACTTTCAGAAAAACATAATAAATACTTGAATATTAGAGTTTTATTTTACTATAATAAGTTTATTCACACACACACCCTGCTTAAAATGCAACAATGCCTCCTACGGTCACAATATACGGTGGTCACATAATATGGTGTAACACCGGTACCTTCGCTGTCCAGGTAAACCCAGGGTGTTTGTTTGTACCGATCCGCAGTCTGTAGCGCATGGACCTCAAACTCCTGCCAACATGGTGCTGAACTCCCGAACTGGTGTGTGAGGAGAGCAGAGAGGAGGTTCGGCTTCACCGCAGGCAGCCTCTGCAGGCAGGACTGAATGAGACAGAAATCACATCAGAAACTCGTCCATCTGACCCGCAGTGAAACCATCATGACCATGTTGACGGGACACTAATGTATCATACCCGATATCGATGAAACTGGAATGAAGCTGAAATTAATTCACGAGAAAATATTTTGGATATGTTCAACACGTACGCGGCCATTTTGTCTTCACATGGGGTGAAAGGTCGTCGTCTTCTTCTTCTTCTTCTTATTCTTCTTATTCTTGTCGGTTTTACTGGCGGTTGGCAACAAACTGTTAGTAGCATTACCGCCACTTACTGGTATGGAGTGTGGTTCGTGATGGTCTAAATATGTATCCATATTTATATATACTCTACCATAAATTCTACCTAAACATACGTAAAAACACATACGTGCTTATCCACAACTTTGTATACCATTCTTCTATATTATGCACACATTCTCAAACACACCTACTATAATCAAATTCTATGAAATAATTTAGTTTTCTTCATAAATCGCATAATTATTTGCATATGTTCACTCCCCAAATTCTTCCTCAAAATATCTAATAAATTAACCTTTTCCTTAATACTTTCAAACTCTCTCTTCATATATCTTCTCTCTTTTTCATATTTATGACATTCTAATATAACATGCTCTATAGTTTCATATTTCTCACAGTAATCACATTTGCCAGTTTTGTACTATTGAACTTTAAAAAGTGTATAATTAAGCCCTGTATGTCCATATCTTAACCTTGCTATTACGCTTTCCTCTTTTCTATTTCTTCTTCCATTTCTTCTTACTCCTACAATCTCCTGAATTTTATAAAACCATCTTCCTGTTTTATCCCTCCTTTTTTGCCATACTTTCATCAGTTTCTCTTTAACAATACTCTTTCCTTCAGATTTACTTGTTTTAACTGTAAAGCTAATAGGATTCTGAATTGCCATTTTATCTGCCCTCTCGTTTCCTTCTATTCCAATATGTGCTGGAACCCACACAAATATAACTATCAAACCCATGTTTTGTATTCTGAATAATGTATGAAATATTTCTAATAAAATGTCCATCCTACTATCTGTTTGATTATATTTTAAACTTAATGCAGAGCTTGAATCTGAATATATTATTGTTTTTAATGGTTTTATGTCTTCTACCTATTGTAAAGCTAATAATATTGCCAACATTTCTCCTGTGTATACTAATAATCCATCTGTAATTCGTTTTCCTTTTTTTATACAAACGCTATTCCTATTTTCCCTGTTGTTTTTGATGTATCTGTATAAATTTGAACATATTGATAATAATTATTTAATTATAATTGCACTGAATAACTATCTACAATGTATGATTTATCTTGTTTCTTTTCCATTACTGACATTATCTACTGTTGCTTCTGGTAGAATCCAGGGTGGTATAATTGATATTGGTGTTGTTTGACTAATTTCTAAACTATTCCTTTTAAATTATTTTATTTTCTTTTCAATTGTCCATCCAAAACTCCTCATTTCTTTTTCTTTTTCCCAACATGGATTTAAAATTTCCAGAGTTGGATGATCAAAGTTATTGCCTCGCAAATTTAACCAATAATTGATTTCTAATTTTTCATGATTAGGTATCAATAAAATATTTTTATTTGAACTGAATTGAATTACAGAGGCAGAAAGCTATAGAAAAAATATGGGAAGCTGTATGTGAAAAGTTATTGAAAAATAACTACATTGTTTTGTGTCTATATGCTGCAGCTTAATATGATTATGTATGTCAGCTAATATTGATATAAATATTCATGACTATTCATTGACGTGTCCTTATTAATTTAACTGAGTGTACAAGTGGAACCATGCAACACGGCTTCTATGTTTGTTCTCAGACCTATAAACAGTACATTAATATTTCAAAGGTTTTCTATGTTTTTCTAAGCGGCCCAAATATGAGGAAGACCATCGTCTTCCTCACTCTTATTGTTGTGTTTTTCAGCTGCTGCTCTGCAAAGCTGACTGACGAGAACTACAGTAAAACTGGCTTCGTTATACACCACAACAGGAGAAAGGCATCAAGAAACCAAAGTGACACCAACCAGAGTCAAACTTGGGTTACCCCAACTCCTACTATTTCCCTGGTTTATAGAGTACCAGGCTTAACCTCATGGATGCTGTTCTTTCATGGACAATAGAATTTTGTTCAGTCAGCCAAAAATGAGTCAAATATGTTTATATTTCTTACCTGTTTTCTTAAATAAATTGCAATATTAATGTCATGTTGTAAATTCTAAGTTTGTGTACACAACTTTTTGAAATATGGTAATGTAAAATAATTTTGAACAACATAATATCCATCGTCTGCCAACAAAATTGTGTGTTTAAGACAACAATAGATGATTATGTGTGGGAGAATTTAAGCTGGAACTGAACTGGAAACGGGATTATGCCATCTAACACTGTGACATTGGAGTGATTTAAAGAGCAGTTGTGAAATAAAATAAAGCTCCTTAAAAGATGTCATGTTGAATATTTTGCGAATGTTGTTTAGAGAAAGGTTTATGAGCTTAATGCTTAAACAGCCGGTGTCAGTAAATATTCATCTGTCAGTAATCTGTTGAGCAGGGATCAGTCCTGGAAACAGAGAATATTCAGAAATTTTCACTGGGGACTGCTAAACATTTTAATTTAGATGGAATTAGAAACATATTTTTAAAACCTGGAACCTCTAAAAGAAGAGAAGAATGACATCTTATGATCTATTTTATGAGCCATAGATCTGAATCAGAAAGTACAGAGCTTCTGCAAAACCCCCAGCTGCCTCTAAGACCTTTCCTGATGGGGTCTCAGGTTACTTAAATTTATATCCAGTTTAATATTAAAGCTGCAATTATCACCACAAAGTTTATTCTGCAAAGGCAGAAGCAGAACAGAAAATATGGAATGTTTTCCCATGTTATAGGGATAGGCTAATGCTAACTAGCTAGTTAGCAGTGGAGATTATTTCACTAAAAACAAGACCTTTTTCCTAAGTTATAATTAAAATAAGTTGCTCGTGGAACCAGCAAGTAAGCAGCATAGGCTAACTAGCTAGTTTCACTGGCATATTATTTTACTTATAACAAGACAGATATTTCCCATGTTATAAGTGAAATAATCTGCAGAAAAATGGGTAAATGTCTGAATGTAATGTGAAGCTCTTTGGGGTCATAAAAGTCTGCCAAAAGTCTTGGTGCTATTGAAATAAAGTGTAGAAGCAAAAAATGCAGGTAACCCCAAAATGTTTAGTTGTTCCTTAGCTCTTATCTTAATTTGCGTATAAATCCCATTTTACCAGCAGATTATCGTATTACAAGCACAGTAGAGTTTAAAGAAAATATTATTTAAAATTTAGGTGTTGTTAAAAAAGTGATTAGATATAATTACTTGATAACTGAAAAAATATTGGGTAGAAATAAACTAGTAATCGCTATGCTCGACACTGTAAATTACATTAAAATCAGTTATATTTTCTCAATTGTACATAAAAATGTATTATGATGTAACTAGGAATCTCCTAGGACCTAGGTGCTGTGTTGAAATCCTCTGGGGAAATCCGGACCATGAATGCCTCCCCAATATGGCAGCTTTCATTGACGTACGACGCTTTTACCTCTAATACGCATGAATGTGACCACCAAACCAGTCGCCATTTTAAAAAGAATGTGAAATTAAATTTCTGTATAAAATAATGATTATAACCTTTATTTAATCATCAGAATATCATAGTAGTTTAATTATGTACAGAGAGATTCAAGATAAACGAACTTTAGTATTAACTTTTGAGCCTTTTAGAAGATTTTTTTTTCGAACATGTGAGATTCGCCATTACGTCCTTGAGCAAAGAAGCAAGGTCGGTTTTCCACCATTTTGTTTGTGCTAATATGGACAAAAAACATTGGTCATGACGTCAAAAACGTCATGCAGTATAAAAGCTAAGTCCCTCCTTTCCGAGCTCATTCGCGGATTTGGTCAAAGGTAAGTAAAGGCAGTGAAATTTGGGGAGCGATAAGACACCAGTGATTTTTTAAATGCGAAAAATACTACTAAGGGTAATAAAATCCCTTAATATTATCAAGGACGGGGGTGTTTAACAGTCAGTTGAATGTGAATTTGTGGTTTTTGTGTATTTCTGCAGGTTTGAAATTGCTTTGCCGAAGACTGAGCCGTCGAGGACTTCAAACAGCTCTTCTCAATTTCATTTTTTTCCCTTCAAGTAATGGACATTTGATTACTATTTTTGCCTCCAGTTGGTCAAGAAGAAAAGGCTAGCGTCTAGCTAGCACAGCCCAGTCCATAAGAAGTCTTTCTGATGATAATTAAAACCATGAAGGTTGACGACATATAAATGAATTATGAGCTATAAGTGCTTGAAAAAGTACATCATAATATAGCCGAGACGCTGAGGATCTATAGTATCAATAGTAAGTTCATTTTTGAAGTTAAATCGACATTACTCCATTGAAATTGTTGTAGGTTACGGCTAGCTGTCGGTAGCGAGCTAACAGAGCTCGTATAAATAGTTTGGCTCTGGGCAAATATATTCTAGTATGAGCTCACACGCCAAAGAGGACGGGCGCGCATTGCCCCGTTCCTTTGTGTGTGAGACAGGATGGACAAATTGTTAAAATAAAAAGTTTAAGTAGGATAATGTAGCATTTTCATAAGCAATCTGTTTATAAAGATTGCCCTAAGGATAGAAAGGAAATACAAAATTCGGAAATTTTATGTGGAAAAATGCGTTTCATAGAGGTTCTTTCAAGGATCGCAAATCTACCGCAATCTGCACATAAAGATTGCGGTAGTATTGGGGTTACGGACACAATATGAAGCCCATTTGTTTTGTCGATAAATATAGGACACGGACACTGAGCGTGGTGGTGTAGACGGCAATCTGTGGATAAAGATTGCAGGATGGTGGCCCAGCCTTACATCGAAGCACAAACATTGTGGATTGGCCTTTATTTGCTTTCCGTCCTCGGACAACTCGGCGCTATCTTTCCGGATGAAGATTTTTTATGTTTTTTTCTAATGTTTTCGGAACGAGCATAGACTGTGATCTAGTTCGTTGGTCACGCTGGTGCATACGTCTGATATCGGCCATCACGGTGTTTGCAACACCCATTGTTTGTATGAGGGACTGAATGTACCTAGGAAGTGGTTAAGTAGGGGTGGGACTTAGCTGAAGTCAGACTGCAGTTCCCTCCCCCTAGTTGAGAAGTGGTGATGCAGGCTTGTAGGCTGCCTCTGCTGGGACAAATCAGCACACCCTTTTATGGGATAGGGTGGTTGTGAAATAGGATTTGCTTAGTGTAGTTATTGTGCTCAAGAAAAAAATCTTTTCTTCCTTGGTAGCTTGATTTTCTAGCAGACATTATGTGGCATGTTGCTCACTAAATCCACTTTGATGATTTGAATATGTGCAGTAACACCATGATGTGACCCATAACATTTCCCCCACCTAAATTAGGGTCATGTTTTCTATTTTAATAACTATGTATTTGTGTAACTATTGTGACATTTACAGGGTGTCAGGTATTTGCAGTGTTGTGGAGGTGTGAGACAATATAAAACTTCTACTACAACTGTTACACGGGTAAGATCTGATGAATCTGACATCATTTCAACTTGTTTCCTGCAGAACTACGGCTTCTGCACTTGAATAGACACTGGCACAAAAACAGTTTGATTATTAATAATCAGAGATAAATGCATGCTTTTACAGCATCACCTGCATAATGTCTTTAAAATGATTTAACAAGGTCAAATAATGGAAAATGTATTCATGTAATCATAAACTTGTTATTCAACCGTTCACTTGTGCCATTTAGGCCTTTGCCAAGTTATTTGACAGTATAAGTCAAACAATAGCTACTTTCTGTGTTTCTTTTTTTTAAAAAAAGCCAACTTATAATAATGGTAAAGAAAATCTAAAAGTAACAATGTACATTTGTGTCCAGTACTACTTATATCCCTTTCAAATTTAGATTTTTAATTATTTTTGTTCACCCAAGAAGAAGAGAGAATAGATGTTGTATAAGATGAGATGGGTATTGCTCAAACGGTGAAGGAAAAAATGTAAAATGAGTATAAATTTTCCATAAAAATAATTTGCATTTCTTGTAAATTTTAACAAAAATATTTATAACATCAATTATTGGAAAACATTTTTTGACATCATAGCAATCAACCTCTTGCAAATTGCTAACCTGCTTTTTGCATTTTTCCTACTATTGTTATGACTTACACTTTAAGAGCTCCAGATCTCTGAGGCTGGTAAGCCTCCTGGTCGTCACCGTAATATTAAATTCCCGTCACAGATTGTCAGTGGGCTTCAAGTCAGGATTGGCTGGACCACTCCAAAAAGTTACTATTATTTCAGACTAGAAGAAACAAAGTGCAAAATAAAATCTGCCGGGGGTAAGAATAGTTTGGAATAGTCCTTATCTGACAATCATCAGATAAGGATCTGATGATTGTGACAAATACCCTTTCCCCTATTTCTAACACATTTAACTGTAAGGCACTGTTGTGTAGTATTAATGAAACATTCCCCCTGATCACACAGTGAAAGGTGTAAGTTTTTAAGACTTCTACATTTTCCGACCACTTTAGAATTAATACTAGCAAATCAAAATTTTGTAACTCAGTGCCGTTTCTCTTGTCATCAGAATCTTTGCCTGTTGGACTGATGACCCAGCCTGCTCCCTGCAGGCCTGAGTATCTGTCAAACCAGTGGTCAACAGAGAAAGATGTTTTATTTCATCCTCGGGCTTAGAAAATGTTAATTAATGTAGTGTATTATTCCTTGATAATTTCTATCAACAAACAAAGCTAAGAAAAAATATTTTATAAGTTGGAAAGTGTGTCCAAATTTTTTTCTTTGTGTAACATAGAGTGAAAATAGAGTTGTGTTTCTTCAGCCAAAATAAACAAAAATGAGATCAATAAAATTTATTTTTGTTGGATGTGCTTCATGGATCAATTTTATGAACATTGTCTCCCACTTTGTATTTTTAACCTAAACTGGAATAAATATGTTGTCTCACACACACAATATACACTGTATGGGATTATGTTTATTCTTGTGAGCAAATTTGTGGGAGGAGAGATTGTGTGGTACTTTGAACTCATATTCCTGTTAGACTGGTTTCAGTTGAGTGCAGGGAACAACTCTATATGCCTTAAGTATGAGGCAAAACTACCAGTGCTTGTCAGAGCAGTAGTGTAAGTTTCTGGAATATCAGATCTCTATATGTGGATTCCTCAACCCCTGGAATCTGTTAAACCAGAGAAATGATGAGTTAAGATGTTCAGTGTTCTGAAAGATGTAGGGCACTTCTACACTAATGTTGCTGTTATTGTCTGACCTTTGAACCAATGAAGACAAGTTGGTGTAGTCAGACAGCCTTTTACAGGAGTACCAGTTACATGTACTCCTGTAGAAGGCTCTGCATTCTAATTGATGCAGAGATGTCATTCTATTCTAACCTTGTTGGTCCAAATTCACTTTAGTTGAAGTTGTTTTGAAGTCCTTGTGGTGGAAGAGCACAAAGCATTTTGCTATTCATGGTCTTAGAAAACAGTCTGTGTCTTGGCTTTGTTTTAGTTTGACAGACATAATGGAGCCCAGAACCATGTGTGTGTGAAAAATGTAACATTTACTGCTTTTGACTTGTTGGTGTGTGTATTCATAGAGCGGTGTGTGTTTCAGACATGGCGAAGGGACCAGTTGACCCCAGGGAGATTCTGAAAGGCGTTGAAGCCCTGCTGGGAAAGGATGGTGAGCTGCGCAGTCTTGAGGGAGTCCCGAAGGTGTTTAGGTGAGAAGTTCAAGTCTGATGAACCTATGTGCCCCCTGCTCTTCCATTGTTAATAAATGTGCCAACATAGTTTTGCTTGTGCCAACATAGTTTTGCTTGTTTTCTTTTCCTTGCAGCTTGATGAAAGCTTCTACTAAGATGGTCAGTAGGTGTATGTACCTCAACGTGCTGCTGCAGACGAAATCTCATGATATTCTTAACAGGTGGGACTTCTACATACCATATCTTGCCATTATTAATCCTGCAATATATAGTGTTCCATTTAACTCCTAGTCCCTGAGCTACAGATATATTTCCTTTATCTCAAAAGATCTATATGTGTTCAGTTTTCTGTTGGTGTATAAATGTGTTAGTACAAATGGATCCTGATGTAAACCATAGCTGAGATTGACTCTGTTGTAGTCTTCATTAAATCAGCAGTTCCTTCACACAGGTTCATCAGAGTTGGTGGTTACAGGCTGCTCAATTCCTGGCTTACCTACTCAAAAACCACCAACAACAGCCCTCTGCTTCAGCTCATCCTGCTCACACTGCAGAAGCTGCCCCTTAAAGTAGACCATCTCAAACAGGTAATGCCTTTATTTTTATGGAGTACACATGTAGTCACATGTCCAGCTACTTTTAGTAATCCTGTTGTCTTTCATTGTTTTCCCAGAACAACACAGCAAAACTTGTAAAGCAGCTGAGCAAAAGTGCAGAAACAGAAGGTCAGTTTACTTCACTTTAAGATAAATTAAAGCTAATTTGTGTTGCAGCGCTAACATGGACTCTTTGTTTTTAGAATTGAGAAAGTTGGCAGCTGTTTTGGTAGACGGTTGGATGGCAACAATTCGTTCTCAGAGTGTCTCAAGCAGCAGCAGTTCCCCTGCTGGTACAGACTTACTTATCTTTCACTCTTCTACAGACTGTAAAGTCTACCATTTTAACACACTGCTGTTTGTCTTTAAGATAAAAAAAAGAAGAAGGAAGAGAGCAAGATGGCAGTGAGGGATGTGAAGGAAAAGAGTGGAGATGAGGGGAGGAAGAAGGAAAAATCCAAAGCTCATGCACCCAGCCATACAAAGATTCGCTCCATAGGTATGCTTGACTTTAGCAACAATGATCCTGTGGGTTATACAGTATATACTCTATATTTGTGTATGTATAATGATTGTATGTTTGTACTGCATAGGTCTGGAGATGGAGGCTTCCAACCCAACTCCTCCTAAAAAGACGTCCTCTGCACCACAGCTGGGTGAGAAATACATCATAAAGCCCCCGTTACTCAAGAGGCCGAGGTAAGGCCAGTGTTCTAGCTTTCTTTTAAAACAGTGCCGCCCTGTGTTGTGATAATGAATCTAGTTCAGTCTGCCAAATTGAGCACTAAATGTTTTTTTCCAATAGTTCTGGTCCTTCAGATGCTCCACCTCTTGAGAAAAAATACAAACCTCTCAATACGCCTTCAAATGCAACCAAAGAGATCAAAGTGAAGATAATTCCAGCACCACGTAAGCTTATTCACAGAAAAACAAAGCAGCTTTGTGTTCCTAGCTGATGGAATAACAGTGTTGATATGGGCTGTTTTTTTTTCCCCTCATTGCAGCAATGGAAGCTACAGGCTTTCTGGACGCCCTGAACTCAGCCCCAGTGCCTGAGATTAAGATCAAAAAGAAGAAACCTCCTGGTGCTTCTATTCCTGCTAACACCAAAGCTGTCTCACCAACATCAACCAAGGTACTGACTGTGTTTATGGGACTCTAACAGGAGTCTTAATGTTGTTAAGTCTACACTGGTCAAGCCACACTATAGTGATGCTATGTTACACCATCACTGTAACATACAGTTACATCACTGTATCTCTGTACACTAATGATAGTGTAGTATAGTATATATGTGTAGTGTATCATTTGTGTAGTGATACATTAGTAATGTAGCATCATCAACATAGCACAATATGCTACGCTAATGGTGCTAATCATTAGCGTAATGATGGTACACTTTTAGTGCTACAGCACTGATGCTACGCTCTGGATTCCACACTAATGGTGCTACTATGCCTGTCGCAATGAACAATAATTCAATAAATCGCATAATAAATGGAAACAAGCTCAATAATTTCCATGATAGATAAATTTTCTCCTGTCTTTATCTTTCTACTGAAGACAGGATGAAAAAAGGTTTCTTCTGACTTCCTTTTTCAAGGGCAATTTTGTTTTTTAAAGACTTATTACATGAACAAGCTCATTCAAGTGTGATTGTAGTTGTTTTTTATTTAATGGAAGCACCAGAATTGTGAAATTAGCAGAATATTAACAAATATTTGCGCAGATTTGTAATGTAGTCACAGCAGTCTGTCAGGGTGTCTGCCACAGCAAGAGCTAGTCCCCCCCAGCTCATTATTTGGACTCAACTTAAATGTTTTAAACTATAAAACTGCTTTTAACCATACCTTTTCTGTCCTCAGACAAACCCATTTGACAGCAAACCAGCTGGCTATTCTCCATCTTCAGCTAGACCTGCATCCCCAGAAACCTCTGCTGCCTCGATTGCTGCTGATGAAAACCAGGAGCCAGAGCAACCTTTGACCCCAATTCCTGCTGAGGATCCAGACACTGCTGACAACAGTACGGTCCAAAGACTTGTAACTCTAAGAATCTGTCCTACATCTCACTGACATTGTACAAGAATTTACTTTTTAATCTGAAACAATTACTGTATTGTCACAAACCTAAATAGTGTGTTGCAATCTGAGCCTAACCTATTAGTGAAACACTGGAGGAGTAGAAGGCTAACCAGCTAAATGCTACTGATAGATAAGTATGACTTTGCACAGTAAACCAATGTCTGTTCCTGTGTGCTTCAGCTGAGAAGCCCAACGCCTTGGCAGAACCGCGTGCAGACGAGGAGAGCCTGACCAAGAAGGGGAAAAAGAAAAAAACCGTCCACTGGGCCGAGGAAGAGCAGCTCAAGCACTACTTCTATTTTGATTTGGATGAGACAGAGAGAGGTATGTGTGAACTAATAGACATACTTTTTGCTGAGGAAACTAATCGGTATCACAAAGTAAATCTGCAAAAAAATAACAAAAAAAAAAAATGCTTTGTATAAAATATAGTGCAAAAGAAGGAATTTGTTGTCCCCTTCCACTACCTCTAACATTTAATTTAATTTACAGTCAATGTCAACAAGATCAAAGATTTTGGTGAAGCTGCCAAGCGGGAGCTTATGATGGACAGGCAAACGTTTGAGATGGCTCGTCGGCTTTCACATGACACCATGGAAGAAAGGGTCCCCTGGACACAACCCAGGCTCCTGACGCTGGCGGGCAGCTTGGTGACCCCAGGGGCCAACAGCACAGAGAAACACACCCAGAGAGAGCGTGAGATGGGCATCCTACAGGAAATCTTCCTCAGTAAAGAGAGGTAACTGTGCATATTAAGCAGAAGTCTGCACTATGCTTGTTAACTGTGGAAGCAGCTTTGAGTGTTTTCATCTTAACCTGTTGTGTTCCTCAGTGTACCTGACAGCCCTCATGAGCCAGACCCAGAGCCGTATGAACCCATGCCCCCCTGTCTCATTCCTCTGGACGAGGTTAGTACACAGAACCACAAACACTCAGTCATTACTGTAATGTCTTATTTGGTCTACTAAGCTGTGTATGTGTTGTTCCCTACAGGACTCGTCTATGATAGATGAGGACTACGGTGAGCCTGCAGACGCCGCCTCCCAGCAGGCCCAGAGTGAGAGTTCCAAGCTGCCGCCGGTCCTGGCCAACCTCATGGTCAACCTGAGCAGCAGCTCCCGCAGCCCCCAGGCCTCCAGCGCCACAAGCAACCCTGCAGCTCCAGTGGTCAACGTACAGGAGCTGCTCTCATCCATCATGGTACTGATGAGATTTGAACAACAGGCACTCTTTTTTAAGCACCGTTTCTAGTGCTCTCAAAGAATACACACACACAGACCTTGTCCAGCTACGCTAATACCTGTTTTGTGTCATCAGGGAGCTTCTGGTGGTCAGTCTACTGAAGAGCTGATAAAGCAGCCAGACTTCTCCGATAAGATCAAGCAACTGCTGGGTTCCCTGCAGCAGAGCCAGATCCAAACGCAGGGAGGACCACCTCCAGGTAAACACATGTCCTGATCCATCATGCACCTTCCCTCCAAAACAAACACTAATGTCTTCTTCCTGCTCAGTCAACTTGGGGCTGCTAGGACATGGCCCAGGCATGAACAACATGACCAACATGCACATGCAAGGGCCCATGAATGGTGGATACCCACCCAACAGCTCACCTGGGGGTCCTCGCTTCAACCATCCCCCTCCACCTCACAACCATGGGCCGCCTTTCAATAACCCTGGAGGCCCTCGCATGATGGGGCCCCGGCCTGGACAGGGCAGAGGAGAGAACGGGAACTACTGGGGAGAGGACTCCATGAGAGGAGGACCACACAGAGGAGGACATTTCCACCGAGGAGGCCGGGGTCGCGGTGGAGACCTGGGTTTCAGAGGCAGGGGCCGTGGAGGGCCCAGAGGAGGACACAACAACATGAATGGTACGTGAGCTAAAATCATGGATTCTGAGAATATTACATCTACTTATTCAACATACAAATTGAACTGGAGAGTTTTAAGCCAACCAAAATTGCTTAACCAGCTTATGCCACTATGTAACGGTCTTTACTTGTTACAGATATGTCCAAAAGGCCGGTATGTCGTCACTTCATGATGAAGGGAAGTTGCAGATATGAAAGTAATTGTGCTTTCTACCACCCTGGTGTGAACGGCCCACCTCTACCACCCAACTACCCAGCTAACCAACACAATCAGCACGCACAGCATGGCCACTAGGGGACACTGTCATCACTCCCCATGTCGTCTACATCCACAGTGGCAGACTGACTGCAGTTATGCTGATGAATCACTGAGATCTGACTCTGCAGACAGACGCTTTGAGACTACAGCAAATAGAATTTGTGCAACATGATCAGAGATGGGACACGAGTGTATTTGTTGTGATTTTGTTTTATTGTTTTCCTTGATCTGTGAGACTGAGAAAAGACCTGACCACTATATTTGAGTTGCTGCAGCTATTTATAGGCTCACTTTGCTCTGTGCTTCATGCCGTGAATATCATTGACCAAAATATTTTTTCAGAATTTTTTTTAGAACAAAACATCCCTCTTAATTTGGCTTTGGAGTTTGTGCCAAATATTATGCTGCTGTAGGATTTTTTTTTTCAGTTAATCCCATCCCCAGTGTAGTTTGGACCAAGGATATTCACTGATGAAGGTTAGTGAAACAGAACGCAGTCAGATTGTACTGGGCTTAGCTCAGCAGCTATAATTTTTTTTCTAATCCAACAAAGCAGGTCCAGCTTTTTTCAATTTTTATTTTTTCTGTCGCTAATATGAAATGCTAGCAGATGCTAGAAAAGCTGAGCAGTGTGCTACATGGATATTTTCTGCATGCACTCGCCTGTATTTGTGGGTCTAAAGTGACAATCTTGGCATAACTGTGGTCATTATTGTTGAGCTACTGCTTGTAACTTGTGTACTCTCATGTAAACCCAGAAAGGGTTTGTGTTGTCAGTGTTAGAGATGATGTATCCGTCTGTGGGTCACATATAACAAGTGTTTTCTGTGAAAACAATGATTTTTTTTTTTTTTCGTCTCTTGTGGGACTTTGCGAATGTAATGTTAAACGTTGCTCCCTCCAAACATTTTTGTTTATTTTTTGATACAGTCTTGGCCTTCGAACCTGTGTGAAATGTCTTCATTTCTATTGTTTGAACAAAATCTCTGTATGAATACAGAATGCATGCACACATACACACACGCACACATACACACACACACACACACACATATATATATATACACACACACATATCACATATATATATACACACACACATATCACATATATATATATATACACACACACATATATCACATATATATATATATATATATATATATATATATATATATATATATATATATATATATGTGTGTGTGTGTGTTCTTTTTCAGTTATTTTGCAGACATGAAATGAAGTAATATCCAACTCTGACCAATGAGGTATATATATATAACCTCAGATTATAGACTGTTAAAACTAGAAACATGTTGGTGTCTTCCATCTTTTTGTTTGTATTTATGTGTTTTAAGTTTTACAAAGATAAACCTTGCCATATTTAATTTATAAATGCTGAAACACTTAATTTTGAAGCCTCATCTGGGGTTAAATTGGTTAGTGTGACCAATGGCCAGTATTCCACAAAATATAAAGCTCAAGATATGGAACTAGAGGCTCTAAATATAACTTGTACTTTTAAGTTCACAATAGCTCCAATCAATCAGTTGTTTAAAAGGATTTCATTGAGAAGAAATGTCTAATTACCTTTTAACATACCCTATGTTGCCAAAAATATTTGCTCAACGGCCGTGACTCACATATGAGTTTAACTGACATCCCATTCCTAATATATAAGGTTCATTATAGATTATACCCTTTGCAGCTTCAATTCTTCTGGGAGTCTTCTAGGAGTGTTTATGGGGATTTTTGACCATTCTTCCAGAAGTGCATTTGTGAGGTCACATACTGATGTTGGAAGAGAAAGCTGGCTTTCAGTCTCCGTTCTTATTCATCCCAAAGGTGTTCTATCAGGATAAGGTCAGGACTCTGTGCAGGCCAGTCAAGTTCATCTACACCAGATTCTGCCATCCATGTCTTTATGGACCTTGCTTTGTGCTCTGGTGCTCAGTCATGTTGGAAAAGGAAGGGGTCAGCTCCAAACTGTTCCCACAAAGTTGAGAACATGGAATTATCCAAAATGTCTTGGTATGTTGAAGTATTCAGAGTTCCTTTCACTGGAACTAAGGGGCCAAGTCCAGTTCCTGAAAAACAATCCCACACCATGGTCCCCCCTCCACCAAACTTTACACTTGGCACAATGCAGTCAGACAAGTACAGTTCTCCTGGCAACTGCCAAACCCAGACTCATCTATCAGGTTCCCAGATGGAGCATGATTTGTCCTTCCAACGAATGTGCCTGCACAGTTCTAGAGTCCACTTTATACCGCTGCATCCAATGCTTTGGATTGCTCTTGGTGATGTATGGCTTGGATGGAACCATGGAAACCCATACCATGAAGCTTTCTGCGCACTGTTCTTGAGCTAATCTGAAGGCCACATGAAGTTTGGAGGTTTGTAGTGACTGACTCTGCAGAAAGTTGGCGACCTGTTTGCACTATGTGCTTCAGCATCCACTGACCCTGCTCCCTCTGTTTACGTGGCGTAGCACTTCATGGCTGAGTTGCTGACTTTCCCAAAGACTTCCATCTTTTTATAGCATTATAAGCTGACAGTTGACTGTGGAATATTTAGGAGTGAGGAAATTTTACGAGTGGATTTGTTGCACAGGTGGCATCCTATCACAGTTCCACACTGGAGCTGTGATAATGGGTTGCTCTTCAGAGCAACCCATCCATCCATCCATTTTCTGAACACCCTTGTCCCTCATTGGGGTCGGGAGGGGTGCTGGTGCCTATCTCCAGCTAACGTTCCGGGCGAGTTCAGAGCAACCCATTCTTTCACAAATGTAAAAACAGTGTTCATATCTATGTGGTTTATTTCATACATTTGTGGCCATGAAAGCGATTGGAACACCTGATTCTGATCATTTGGATGGGTAAAGCAAATACTTTTGACAATATAGTACACCGTGCTCCAAATTATTATGCAAATTAGATTTACGTGTTATAAAGATTAAATTTTTCTTGTGCTATTAAATTTATAGATGGTATTGTGTGTCAGGGCTCTTTGAATCACTATAATTAATTTCAGAGAGCTGGTTGATTAGTTTGTCTGGTGAGCTCAATTAAAGGAAATCAACTTAGGAAGGATGTTACACATTATTAAGCAGGCCACAGGTTTCAAGCAATATTGGAAAGAGAAAGGACCTCTCTGCTGACAAAAATCATCAGATAGTGTAGTGCCATATGACAAGTAATGAAAACATTAGATATTTAACAAAAACTGAAGCGTTATCGTACTGTAAAGAGATTTGTGGCTGGTTCAGAACAAAGATAGGTTTGTGCAGATAAAGGCATAATGAGGGAGGTTTCTGTTAGACAAATCCATTGGATTAATAGAGCAGCTGCTAAAATGCTTACAAAGCAGCAAACAGAAGCTGCTGGTGCCTCTGGAACCTCAAGGTGGAGAATCCTCTAGAGGCTTGTGGTGCATGAACTCACTATTCGGCCACCCCGTAACCAGTGCTCACAAGCAGAAACGGTCACAGTGGGCCCAGTCGTACACGAAAATTAATTTTCAAACAGACTTGTTCACTGATGACTGCTGTGCAACCCTGGATGGACTAGATAGAAGCAGTAGTGGATTGGTGGTGGATGGCCACCACATCCCAACATTGCTGTGACATCAGCAAGGAGGTAGTGGAGTCATTTTTTGGGTCGAAATCATGGGAAGAGAGCTGGTCGGCCCCTTCAGAGTCCCCGAAGGTGTGAAAATGACCTCAGCAAAGTATATGGACTTTCTGACTGATCACTGTCTTTTATGGTTCAAAAAGAAGAGCCATACCTTCAGTAGCAAAATCATATTCATGCATGACAATGCATGCTGCAAGAAATATCACTGTGTCATTGGCTGTTTAAAAGGGGAGAAACTCATGGTGTGGTCACCATCCTCCTCTGACCTCAACCCTATTGAGAACCTTTGGAGTATCCTCAAGCAGAAGATCTGAAGGTGGGATGCAGTTCATATCAAAACAGCAGTTCTGGGAAGGTATTCTGACATACTGCAAAGAAATTCAAGCAGAAACTATCCACAAACTCACAAGTTCAATGGATGCAAGAATTGTGCAGGTGATATCAAATAAGGGGTCCTATGTTAACCTGTAACTTGATCTGTTAAGATGTTTTACATTGAAATAGCTTTTGATTTTAGTACCTGTGACCACTTAATGCCGCACATTCAAAGAATGACTGTTTGCAGTTCTTTATAATCCATAAAATGTTTAGAAAATCTGCTGTGCATAATAATTTGGAACAGTGCATTTTGAGTTTCTATCCAAAAATCACCACTCAGTCAAGCTACTTCATATTCTGCCACAATAATAGATCATACACACATGAATTCTATTCAATCTTGATATTCTAGACTGAATAAAAGAATAGAATATAAATACTATAATAATACTGTCAAAGAACTTTACAAAATAGCTCTAAGAAATGTTCTCACTAAGTTTTCTGGCAATTATAGAAATAATTTTGGTAATTCTAACCGACCTAAATCAAGAAATGTTTGATCTGATTTAACTTTAATTAGTCAGAAAAAGACTAGTGAACATCTATCAGGTATTAAATTAAAGAGCTCTGCTTCTTAAACCCCAGCGACTCCTGAGGTTTTTGGGAACAAGTTTCTGTGTGTATTTTATGCACACACATACCCATACACACACAGCATCAGATCCGTCTTTACAAGGCGGGGCTGAGTGTAGTTGATAAATATGAAACGTTAATGGGAGAGATCTTAACCAAGCCCATGAGAGCAAATATTGACCATTGTACTCCTAAAACATACAATAAAACGGACAGAAAGCAACAGTTAGGACACCTCAGCACTAATCAGCTTCCGCATCCTGTTACAAGTGACTGTTGACAGAATTCGTTTGTTTTAGTCCTCGTTTGATGAAGAGGTCCATCAGAACACCTGCTCATTTTGAAGAATGTATTTTTCTTGAACAAAGAAGGCCTTGAAGATACAAGGCTCATGTATTTGATGACAAACTGGGCAAGAGGCATGGTGCATTCATTATGCTAAAGTTCCACAAAAGATTTAAAATTCTTCAATCTGTTTTCTTTCCTACCAATTTAGATAAGAATACACTGAACACAACACTTATGGGTGACCATATTTCTTGCAGTACTCACTGAAATAATAAAAATTTACTAGGTATTTTTAAAACTTTACTTCCTTCTGTCAGTAAATGTTTGAATTCAGTCAACACATCTAGAACAGAGCCTTTGTTTTTGGAAAGCTCTATCTACAATACTCCACCTAACTTTTATTTTACTGGATTTGACCTTGGTTTGGAAACAGCACAGCAGAACAGCTTCATCGCAAAACCAAACCATGAGCAGGATGTGCTTTTATGGCATGGTATGATGTGTGGTGCAGAGAAAATGAGAGGCACTGAGACTTAGTGTAGAAACAGACATTGGCATACTGGAAAAAGAAGGAAAGAGTTGATGGAGTGGGTAAAAGGTGGATTGGATGTCCAGAGACTCACTCCTGCCTGGACAGAACAATGGAAGCATTGAGCTACCTCTTTACAGGCTTTGTGAAGACACCCCTGATAGTGATGGCAGAAGGAAACTGGCATGATGGAAAAAATAAAAAAAATTAAAACTTTTATAAAATTGTGGATGTAGACATATTGCATGTAGACAAGAAAATGGACAGCAACAACCTAAGACGTTGAGATTCTTGTTTGTCCAGGTTGACGTGTCTGCATCCGCCTTCCTGGACAAATCAACAGTCTATGCTTTGCAGCAAATATGTACCGAGTTGCACCTTTGTGTATCGGGCAAATCACATAAAACCAGTTATGATTGAGTCTTCCAGTGGTGACTCATCATTAGAATGGAGTTGAACTCCTCCTCTTTCCCAAAAACAGTCATGGATCTGGAAGATTAACTAAGCTGAATCAGCATTGAAGAAATGTGGCATTTTTCAAGTTTGATGGAAATATTTTCATAAATGTGGTTAGTACATGGACTACACATTGAGTTACAACAAGCTGGCTGATCATTCTAGCTTTATGTTATGATTTGCAGTAAATCCATCATCAGCTCAGGATGCTGACCTGTCCATGGATTTGAGCCAAGCTCATCTGTGATGCAACAATGACTCAATGACTTGGGAGCAAGATAAGATTAAATAACATAACTGACAGAGTATTAATCCTGTTCAATTTGTGAAAAATCCTTTCCAGAAACTATTTGTGGTGTTCCAGTGACCTGAATCCAAAAAAAAACACTGGCTTAAAACATTTATATTCAGTACCTTGTTATAAAACTAATCAATATTTAGAGTCATACTTTAACATCAGTGATTCTACAGGAAAATGCACCAAAATTTCAGATACAACTTTTCCAACAGAGTTCAGTTTGCACATTTTTGAGGCACTCCTGGGAATTCCAGCTGAGGACGGAAAGAATGGGAGCAGTGAGAAAGAAGAGGGCGGATCCTCAGGGAACAGGTGCTTAAAAAGGGAACAGGTGAGCTTTAGCATGCAGGAGATCACTGAGCTTCGGTCCGACCTGTCACAAACAACGAAGGTAAGTCTTTATGGAGAATTCACCTGATGGAAAAATTTCTTCCCTTTCAGATTTAATAGCTAAACTCTTCTCAAATTCACCAATAGCTAATGGAAGTTAGGTCTTTGACAAAGGAAATTTGTTTTTTCCAACAGGTTCTTTTTATATAAGAGAAACAATATTTCCTAAGTAAACTAAAAAACTGTCAAAGATTAGTGTGGAGGTAGAGTGTCTTTGGGTCCCCACCTTTTTTTCTTGTATTTGAAAATTGTAAGAGGCAATGGACACAAAGATTGAGTTTTTATGGGAATATTTTGATCTTTATTGATTGTTGCTTCAATGAGTCACTGAGTCTTTCATAACTATCTGTCTTCATACAGAACTTGAGACTTCATTCACTTATTGTCTACCATTCAGAGATAAAAAAAAACACTTCTAAATGCTGATGTGTATAAGGAGGTTGGAGAACTGAAATAAGAGATTAGAATGTTGTCCCAGAGTGGAGACGATGGTGGGGATGGTGAGGACATCCAGGGGGAACAGCAGAAAAGTGATGAGACATTGTGAGGCATGTAGATTCACCTACAAAAAAAAAGCAAATTATATATTTTTAAAAATTAGGAATGATATACTGTGCAATAGGGACAAAATTACAGCATAAAATGACACTCTGATTCATGTACAACTGAGTAGGATAACTAAAAAAAGGTGCAAAATGTGCATATGCATTTGTGCATCAAAAAAGAAGATTAAATGTTAGGAGAATAAAAATGAAAATAAAATTGTGGAAATAAGAGGTGTGTAAAAACCAGCAAAAATGTTATTTAAAATGAGCAAAACGGTTCCAGTAGGTGATGGAAACACCGGTAGGTTGTTGGAGTGTGATGGTCAGGGCCGTGCAGAGACCACTAAAAGGGCAGGTGCTCAAAAA